GGGAGCCCCGTGCTGGGGGTGACACTGAGGTTCTCCCCCCACCCCGAACAGGCAGGGTCTCGTGCGAGGAGGGGTGGTTGCAGCACGGGGGCTCTCGGGGGCTGCAGTGATGCATTCCAGCTGAGACTTGTAAGGCAGAGGTATTTTAAGTATATTGGCTGAAGGAAAATGGTTCTGAGCTTTCTGGGGCAGATTGACAATTAATTTTTTATTTTTTTTTTCAGGGTCATAAAAATTCCATTTCTGCTGTGGAAAGTTTTAACCCTTTCCTTACCCTGGAGCTTGTTTCTAAGGGTATTAATGGGGGGATTATTTTAACTGATGGCTCCCCAGTGAAGTGTTAAAAAACGATTTTGGGGAAATTTGTGTGTTCTTTGTGCCAGGCTTTTTATCTGGACCTTGTTCGCAGTGACCTGTGTGTGGTTATAACCATCTTGCTTCCATGCTCCTACGTGTTAGGTAGGGTAACCATGCTTCTGTGCTGTGGCAGAGAGGAGAAAAAAGACTGAGCATGTATCTAATAGTCTAAAGAATAAAACTGAACAAAGACCTTGGCCATTGAGACAGGATGTAACTGAGCCCCGAGACACAGGGGTGCTGGAGGGTGGGACATGAAAACGGGGTATGGGTTGAGTCGTGGGCACACTTTTGGATATCCCACTTCATCTCTTCAGGTGCCCAGATGTGTGTTCCAGTCCCTCAGTCACATTAGGAGCATGCAGTGATTTTTTTCTTTTTCTTCTTCCTTTTTTTTTTTTTCTTTTTTTCTTATTTTTTCTTTTTTCTTTTTTTCTTTTTTTTTCTTTTTTTGTCTTTCTCTTTCTTTTTCTTTTTTTTTCTTCCTTTTTTTTTCTTTTTTAATGTGCATGGTCTTCCCTGTGGGCGCCTCTTCAATTGTGTTTTGAAAACCCATGAACATGGTTGGGGGTGAGGTGGGGAAAAGGGGGGGGGCTGGCATCACCCATACCTCATGGGGAGCTCGGCTTGGAAAAACAACACGGCACCGCTTGTGACTTGTTTCATCAGGATTCCGTGCAAAAATGGGAATATTCCTCAAAGCACTGCAGCAAACTTCCCTTCTCACCCCTGTTTATTACACAGCAAGATCTTACTTGCAGCCATATATTGTGGGGGCCGTTTGACCTGCTGAGGGGAGGTTTGGTGGCTTCAGAAGAGCCGAAGCATGAATCAAGAAACATTTTAATCGTGTGTTTTGCGATCTGCCCATGTTTTCCATCCTGCTTTTAAGTGTGACATCAAGCAGTGGGGACTGTGCAGCATTTTGTTTTGGGGGAAAAAAAAAAAAAAGAAGCATTTTTCTTTGTTTCTTTGCTCTTTTCACGCACTGCTTTGAACTTCACTGGCATAAAGCGCTGTCAAATCTCAAATAATCTAAAACCTTCAGTTATTTTCTTTACCTCCACACTCTGCGGGGAGCGAAAGCAGCGGCGCTGCTAATGCCACGAGGATTTACAGTATTTGCTCTTTGCATTTATTCCCATGCCCGGATTCTTTCTGCCTGAACCACGCAAGACTCTTCAACTTCTGGTTTTGATTCTCCCCTCTTGTTTCCTATCTTGTTTTTTTTATCTTAAATCGTTTGAATTTCCTTTTGGATGTGTCTGGTGCAGCAGAGGAAACAGCAACTCAGAGGAACGAGTAAACAAGAGCCAGAGTTTCAGCCCGTCCATCTGATCGATAAAGGTGGCTTTGATGGAAGAGATAGCCCTGACGCCAGCCGAAATGGAGCTGTTAGAAGTTGGAGCTGCCTACAATGATAGTTGTAAAAAAAATGTGGTGTATACCATCGAGGGTATGCAGGACTCAAATATTTTTCTTTCTTCAAAAAGAAAGCTAACAAGCATGCCTCTGTTCCAGCAGAAAGAGGGTAAAAAAAAAAAAGAGGGGGAAAAAAATAAAAAAAAAAGGATTTTCTTGTCTGTGCATAAAGGGCAGCGTGGAAAAAGAGGAGGAAAAAAATGGGATATTTATTTAAAAAGTCGAGGAGATGGTTTTCTGCCGGCCGCCCCTGCTGTCTGCTGAGTGGAAGTGGCTAATAGCTGGAGGAGAAACTAATACTTGGCAGGGGATAAGACAGAGCGCAGGCCCCCTCGGATCAGGGGCTGGCTGAAGTGCTCGCTGGCTGTCAGGGCGGCGAGATGAGTTCATCTGCTCAGGATTCGGTTGAGTGCATGGGGAGATAAAAGAAGGCAAAGAAACCCACGGCAGCACGGGGAACGAGGCAGCCAGCGATGGATGGGGCTGGGGGAGAAGAAGGACCCTGCTGAAAACTTCCCGAGTGCTTGAAACTTTTCAGATGAACCTTTTAACCGTCTCCTTTCGGGGTGTTTGGTTGGCCTGTGGGCCATGGGCAGGTTGCTTTTGCAGCTGGTGCGTGGTTTTTAAAGCCTTTCTTCACCCCCAGGTCAGAAGAAGTGGGGTAGAAAGGAAACATTTTAGTTTCTTGATGTACTTGAGTTACCTGAAACTCATGTCCTCACCTGTTTGAAGGAGCACAGGACATCTCCAGGGGTGCTTTGAGCTGGTAGAGCAGTCACTGCCAGGCAGGAGCTATGATGGGGTGACAGAGATGACAAGCATGTTGGCAAGGTGGATTGCACCCCCCCGAGATGCCTACATGTATGGATGGGCTGAAGCTCATGCCATAAATTGCATGGAAATTATATTAATAAGGCTATTTCAGATGGGTGAAAGCAGGGGGTGTAAGAAAACCCCAGCCTTCCCCTGTTTTCAGCGTGTGTGTACATGGATTTTGCCAAAATACCCCAGTTCCTGGAAAGCAGAGGTGGCACCAGGGATGGTGGCACCTACAGAGAGATGTTCTTGGAGAAGAGACACACTGGTTTCCACCTGCTTTGCTTTCCCCCGCTGGGTATGTTAATTCACAGTAAACCATGGTAAATATTTAAATGTTTATTGATGATGGTTCCTCTGATTAATTCAGCTGATGAGGAAATTTGAGTTTTGAAGTTGTCCCATTCGTAGTCTCCAAGGGAAATGCTGGGACTGAGTGGTAGTTCCTAAAAAAAATGTAGTGACCAAACTAACTGACCTAATGGGCATGGAGGGCTTTGTGGAGCTTGGGAGGTTAAACAGATGCAGAGCTTGGTAATTGCTACCAGCCTCCAGGCCCAGCAGATAAAAAACCTCTGAGCTTATCTGTAGCCCCCCAGCATCACTGGAGTGGGACAGCAGCGAAATTTAACATTTCAGAAGAGCTTTGGAAAGGTACTGAGGGCATCTCAACTGTATGATGTCCCAGGGGGGAAAAGGTGACTGTGGAAACTGGATGCTGTGGTAGATGTACCTGCAGATATGAAGCTAAATTGCTCAGAACCTCTTCTTTCTGCTTTTGTGTCATTTATGAACTACATCTCGTTTCACTTCTTAAAAGAAAATCTGAAACTATTTGCCATAGTGAATTTTAAAGAGCAGGATGTGCTGATGGTCTGCATGGTAGAAGAGCAAGGGATGATGTCAGAGAAGGTCAAGAGATTTTCATCCATGCCAAGCTGTTCATTTCAGGGGTTTCTACAGATGTAGCTAAGGGTGGTCTTGCTTCAGTAACGTTCAGTTAGGTAAGACTGTTTGGGTCAGATTTGTGTTCATACCATAAACTTGGTTAATACCATTTTTGCAACTGCTGCAGAAACACTGCAAAGAGGTTCTGAAACTTTTTATCACTGATTTCATTAAAATTTCTGTTCTTGGTGGAGATCTTAGTGCATCATGTAGGCTCTAGGCAGCTGGAAGGGTTTCTAACCCAGAATTACATTTGAATCTTTTCTTCCTTCTCTAAAACTTCATGTTTGCATGGCTGGTGCTTTTCAAGGCATCATGAGATACTTCAGGAAGAGTCGAGTCCAGTTGTCAGTATTTAATGATGTGCTTGAGTACAACATATCCATCATGCGCTTGTCAGTGAAGTCATTACCCTTTTGGAGCACGTTGGGTTGGTTGTTTAACTCCTGGCAATCCGGACATGGGAGGGTCATTTGAGATGGCAAGGGAAATACAGTTATTGGCCAAAGAGTAAATGGGAAAAAACCTTTGGTTTTGCTGATTTTTGTCGCTAGCAGAGTGCAGCAGTAGGATGAGCTTATTACAGAGTGACTCTAAGTGGTTTCCACAGGGGATGGCTCAGGAGCATGGAGACAGAGACCCATCATTGTCACTGGTACATGGTGGAGTGTCCCACCTCGCTGCAATGGCTGTGGCTGGGGGACAGGATCTGGTCCTTGGGGGAAAGAAACCCAAGTTTGGCTCATCTGGCTCTGGGATGCTGCTGTTGCTCTGACCAAAGGTCTTCACCCATTTCCCTGTGGGTACAGAGCCACTAACTGAATTTAAGGGGCACATCTCACCCAGTTGTGTTCAGCAAAGCTTTTCCTGTGTCTTCAGGAGACCCAGGACATCACCTCCAGTATTAGGGGGTACGAAGCTGTTGGCTCACCCCTCCATAGGGGATTGGCATAAATGCAGGGAAATTATGTTTCTTTTCCCAGTGGCATTGAAGTGTCTGGTTGCTGCAGGGTTTCCTTCCCAGTCCTGGATAAAATGCACATCAAACTGAAAAGGGGCTGTTGGTGGCTGTGCTGGGTCCTAAAAATTATTTAAACAGATGATGAGGGAGAAAGGAGCCAATGTGGCATTTTTGGGGTGGTTTAGACCTGTGATAGGTGGAGGGGTCAATGCAAGACGATGGCATCCCGCCATCCTCGCTACCTCTCAGCTTTCCCAGTTACCCCCCACTTCCTCCCATCTCCCTCCCCTTAAATTTGTATAGTTACAACTCAAGTTAAACTCTAACAAAGCAGCTTAATTCAAAGATCATTAATGGGGAGGAGAACCCGTTCCCCTCCGGGGTAATTTGAGCCTGAAAAGAAACAGGGCTGTAAGGGTTGCGCTTGAAATCCGGTGTGTCAATAGAGTCTCTGAAGCACAATAATGGCATCACCCCGCGTGCGAGTTAATCGGACATGATGGCACGAAAGCAGAGGGGTCAGCAGGCCGTGGGTGCGTGATAGATTGTCAGGGAGCTTAATGCCGGGCACGGAGCAGGACTGGCTCGAAGCAGAGCTCCTTGCTTGAAATCCCAGGCTGATTTTCTGTTAACTG